CGCCCCGCGACGAACAGCCGCGTCCGCGGTGGCACCGCCGAGGCGGGGGGCGTTCACTGGAGCTGGGGACGCTCCGGCCTCACAGACAGCGTGGACACGGGTGCCCGTTAGACACGGGCGCGCAGGCCGTGCCCTCGCTCGTCCCGCTCAGTCTTCCCTGCGGCCTGGGCACGGGCCAGGCCGGTCGCTGCTGGGGGTCACCGGCTCCCGTGCTCAGCTTTGGGATCCAACCCTGCTGCCTCCCGGCCAGTGTTGTGCGGAGAAGGCTGCTTATTTAGGGAAAGCTGTGGCAAAACAGTGTGACAGCTGGGATTCCCAAATCCTCCCTGATTCGTGGTGAGATTACATGGAGCATATTCACAAATCACTCCCTTACAGCAGCAGAAAACAGGATCCACGGCAGCTCTGTCAATATTCCAGCTACTTTTGGCTTCACTGTGAAACAAAGTTTAGTGGCAAGATGCCTATTGCCCTTTGCTCATTTCAAGTTGAACAAGGTGAATGACATTCAGAAAAAGCCTGAGCAGTTTACGAACACAAAACCATGCTAATCCACAAGGGGTTATTTTGAGATAACGACATTCAATTACCTCTGTTGGGAATATAGACTGGCCACTAAAAGCAACTACAGATTCTAGAAATCTAAAAATGTTGAGTAAAAAGGACCACACAGCTAGATTTATATGGTTAAAAACTCGATATGAGAGATGATGAACACATCACAGAACCACTGCACCTAAGCTACCTTGAATTAAATGGAAATTGAATGCTATGGAGGCTTGGAAGCGTAAGAGTTAAATTCATAAGGCTTAGTATTCAGCACACTATATATAAAGTTAACTAACAACATTCAATGTGTAGATTAAAAAAAAAAGTTGATATTGTTTATTGGTAAATTCTACAGCACTTTATTATTATTGTTACACACTTTACAGTGGCCAATGAAGCAATAGCAGCAAAGCATTAAGTAACAGTCGCCACAATATTACTACGGTAATTTTTTAAATGTCTGGTAGGTGTTAAAGATTTGTTGTAAGTTTTGGATAAGAATATAAAAAAGAAAAAAAGCACAACACACTGAGACTCAGGATATGTGTAAGCCCCAAACATGGGCAAAGAAAAATTGTTACAAAAAATTCCATCACTGTACACAAAACAAATACTTCACTGTAACGAAGCTATCAAATAAGAGGAAAGGAATAACAAAGGCAAATCTTTAATGTATAGAAGCACAAAAACATGCCTAAGAGAACCAGTAACGCCAGTCTTAAAAAAGGCAAGAAGGAGGACCCAGGCAACTACAGGCCAGTGAGCCTCACCTCTGTCCCCGGAAAAGTGATGAAACAGCTCATATTGGCCGTTGTCTCCAGGCACATGGAGGACAAGAAGGTACTCAAGAGTAGTCAGCATGGAAATCTTACTTGGCTAACCCAATAGCCTTCTATGATGGAATGACCAGCTGGATAGATGAGGGGAGAGCGACTTCACCAAGGCTTTTGACACCGTCCCTCACAACATCCTCCTGGGCAAGCTCCAGAAGTGTGGGATAGATGAGTGCACAGTGAGGTGGATTAACAGCTGGCTGGATGGCAGGGCCCAGAGAGTGGTGATCAGCGGTGCAGAGTCTAGTTGGAGGCCTGTAGCTAGCGGTGTCCCCCAGGGGTCAGTCCTTGGTCCAGTCCTGTTCAATTTATTCATCAGTGACCTGGATGAAGGCACAGAGTGCTCCCTCAGCAAGTTTGCTGATGATACCTTTTAAAGTTGACATAAATAGTGGCTGCCATGCTTTGCTGACTGCCACAGACCATACAGCAGCATTTATCTGATGACACATTATGGCACTAGACTTTGTCATAGCTGTCAAGACTTCAACCTTTTCCTTATGCTCCTTTGAAAATAATGTAATAGTATGAGACATTTCCTCCCAAAACAAAAGCAGGGCCAGCAACTGCACAGCTCAGATCCAATGCTGAATGCATAAATAAACAAAATGCACACCTTAGAATTTTAGAATTCTACCTCTCTTTCCTTTTCCTCCTCATGTCATACAGCAGCATCATTATCACCTACAATTTTAATTGCAAGCCCTTCTCCAATGAAAAAAACTCCAAACTGGGAGCTGTTAATGTCCAGAAAAATTCCCACTGGACTTCAGACAGATCATTCCTGCATGCAAATGAAGGCACTGACAGAACTAGAGGAAATGGCCACAAACTGAAGCACCAAAAGTTCCACAGGAACTTAAGGAAAAATTTTTTAACAGTGAGGGTGACAGAGCCCTGGAACAGGCTGCCCAGAGAGGTTGTGGAGTCTCCTTCTCTGGAGATCTTCAAAACCTGCTTGGATGCCACCCTGTGCCACGTGCTCTGGGTGACCCTGCGTGTGCAGGGGGGTTGGACTAGATGACCTCTAGAGCCTTAAGCATTCTGTGATTCTATGAACCGTTGTACTGTAAAAGTGAATAAGAAAATATGTTCAAACAGAATTTCAGAAGGTGCTTTTCAGTGTCTTTCATTGCTGAATTTCAATTTCTTTATCAGACACGTTATTTTCAGGTAATAGGGGGAAAGCTGTCTCAAAGACTGAGAATCGGACACATTTTAAAAAATGCATTGTAACCTTGATGCCTCAAATAACGGTAGCAACGTTCACCTAGCTGCCATGATAAAAATAAAACATAAATGAAGATTGTTTTTAATTTCTTTATCATCAGACACATTATTTGCAGGTAATAGGGGGAAAGTTGTCTCAAAGACTGAGAATCAGACACATTTTAAAAAATGCAATGCAACCTTGATGCCTCAAATAACAGCAGCAACGTTCACCTAGCTGCCATGATAAAAATAAAACATAAATGAAGATTGCCTTAATTTTAAAATGAAATGAAATTTATGCTGATTTACCATTCTCGCTTCAATTTGGAAGGGATTCATGTGTGAATGTAGGAGATCTTAAGAATGGATTAACTGAACTATTAAAGCATCAAAGCAGATCAGGAGGTCTGGAGAGGAGAAAAGGTCTGCATCGAGAAACATCTTGTAGGATAACCTCAGGAATTATAGGTGTGTACACATGTCATTGGCTATTACAGCAATTAAACCCAGTAACACGTAGAACAGTGTGATCTGAAAATGCCTTTGCTAGCAGCAGTCTCCTCCAAAGGTATTAGTGTTTCAATAATCTCTTATGGCCTAAGAACTAATGACCATGTGAGAATTCACAGACATAACTTTAAAAATTAAAATATGCCTATATATTTAAAATATTTTATCCTGAATTCTCCCCTTCCATCTTGGCTTTGTGGGTTACAAATTGCCCATGGACAAATCCAAGCAACCTTGAGAACAGCAGCTGCCGTTTGCAAGGGCAGAGGGCCGCCACCAGCATTCCTTAGCTCAGATGCAAGCGCATTCGGGAGAGGGAAGGAATTTCCTCTTCACTTTCCACCTAAATTCAGCCGTGGGCACATGGGAATTCGACACCCCGCTGTTCCCCAGCTGAGGGCACACGGAGAGCACGTAGAGGTCGCCCAAGGCCGCGGAGATTAGCAAGAGCAGCACGGATCCTCCCGCGCGGTTTCCTCGTTGATGTGGGAATTGCCGGGATTTAATGGCGCCGCT